ACAATCTTAACTACATATGCAAAGATCTTATCTTCAACAGTAACGTTCTCTCAAAAGGCCAATCACCGTGTGCATAAAGTTATGTCTCAGAAAACCTGATTATCTCAACTTTGCAAATTAAAAAAGCCTATAAGAATTCTCCAAGAAATTCTTAAGCCTATGCAAAATTAGAGTACTCCAAGCAGAAGGGTATTCAGCTAATGGAGTACATATAATATTTGCAGTAATTTGTTCTGACAAACAGGTTGGTTTGAGCACTCAATGTTAAACTTGCTGCCTCAGCTCCAGCTTCAGTACACTGAATATTGGTATGTTTTGGTCAGCAAATTTAGCCCACTGTTTTCCTATCAGAAATAATTTCTGTGTCTAGATAGGTTACATCTGGTCAACATGCTACCTCAATGTTGTCCCTGCCAAAATAAAATCACCTTTCATTGAAAGTGATGTAAGCAACAAGGAGCGATGTTTTTCCAGTTTACCTTCTGGACTTGTTTTTTTTTTTTAAACAATATCCAACTAGCAACACATTTTAGTGAAGGCTGAAGAGACCTCCAAGGATGAGATAGATTTATTTTATGGCAGACAATATGTATTGTAAAGTAGTGTAAAGACTGTAATCCCAATAAAATAGATCTATTAAATAGGAACAAAACACACAAATGGGTGGTTCTCTGGATAAATGCGTCTGCTGTAATGTTTCAGAGAATTCTGTGAACTTCAAGAATTCAAAATTAAAGTTATTACACTGGAAAAATCTTTGTAGACCTTTGTTAAACAATGCAATTAAAACACAAAGAATGCAAATTGTTACCTGAGAAAAAGTTCAATGTGCACAACTGCAGGTGCAATCTTTTCCACCACATCTGCTATGAAGTTGAATTTGTATCTTGGGCTGCTGGACTGTAGGTGACCTATACTAGCAGAAAGAATTGGATATGTTAATAAGTAAATACCCTTTTTTACCAAGTAGGTGAGATAAATATACTTTGAATTGGAAACTATCCCAGTAGGAGAAACAGACCAAACAGGTATTGGTAAAGGAATCAAAGTCATTAAGATTATTCAAAACTTATGCAGCATTTTGCTTGATCCTGAGAAAATTAAACATCAGTATCACTTGGCTATAAGTTCCTTGACTTTCTTGGAAGTCTACAAGCCTTGTCTGGAGTATTTTTCTCAGGACAACTACTAATTATTATCCAAAATGCACAGGGTCATAGGATAAGTCAGGTTGGAAGGGACCTCAGGAGGTCTCTAGTTCAACTTCTGCTCCAGGCTTGGTCAGCTGCAAAGGCAGACCAGGTTGCTCAAAGGCTCTGACCGGTTGGGACTTGCAAACCTCCATAGATGAAGACTCCAGAAACTCTCTGGGCAACCTCACCCACTGCTTCACTATCCTCCACAAAGTAAAAGTTCTTCTTACATCTAGTCTGAACCTCTGTTATTGAGACTCATGTTTCAACTCATGCCCGTTTTCTCTCATCCTCCCACTATGCACTACTGTAAGCCTGGCTCCATCTTCCTGGTAACTTCCTCATCAGTACAGGAAGGCTGCTGTTAGGTCCTTCTGAAGCTCTCTCTTCTGAACAAGCCCAGTTCCCTCAGCTTCTTCTCACAGGACGTATGTCCAGCCCACCCAACCATCCTGATAACCCTCTTCTGATCTCACTCTAGTTTGTCAATGCCTTTCCTGTATTGAGGGGTCCAAAACTCAACGCAGTATTCTAGATGTGGTCTAACAAGTGCCAAGTAATATAGCTGCAGCATTTGGGAACCACATTTAGAACTCAAGTTGGGAATTTTTGAAATAGACACATTGGAAACCTGCTGTAAATTATAACCTTTGCACCTAAAAAATTTTGTAAATTCACATTTAAGCTGTCACAAGCAGCTGGGCATAACAATAAATTACTAAATACTAAATACTAAGCGTCCTGATAAAAAACAGTGCGGTAGTACCTTAAACAAGCATTATACACAGCATTTATAAATACTGAATATAATTCCATGGAATGGAGATCTTAGAGACGGAAAAAAGCCCACAGCATCCTGGCTTCTAATGTCACAACACCACAAAGTAATGATACTGCTTGTGCTAGAATGTCATGCTTATCTGCAATCCCTAATACATGGGGACTTGCCACCACGTGTGTTAAACATATGCTAGGGGACGTATCACCACACTCAAATAGCAGTCTTTAAAGCACCAGGCTGTGAACATGAAACTTAACTACGGGATCTAGAGAAAGCCGTAAATGAGTTGTAATCAGATACAGCAATAACATTTTTGGCTTTTTTCAAATCTGGTGCAACAGCACAATATTCCCAGGAGATACTATTCTTTTTCCGCCATTTAGTCAGGAGGGAGAGGCTCTAAGTTCTAGTCTCTAAACAGTATCAACTATTCACAAGTGATGCTTTGCACCATTGTGATTTGCTCTAAGTTCAACTCATGCTGAAGGATGAACTTACTCCACAGTAGCTCTTGCATACCAGGACAACACCTGGTCTTAAGGGTTCTAGATTTGCCTATCTCTAGATCACATAACAGTAATGAGTCCAGATACAGATTCTGTCTTTTTGAAAGTATACACTTTTCTTTCATCAGCTGCCCTTTACTCAAGTCTTTAAAAGGAAAGCGGGTACGGGTCATCACACAAGAAGGAAAGATACACGGAAAAGAAAGGAGAGAGAAGTTTAAGAGAGAAGAGTTCTCACGCATTTTGGTATTCTCTGTAGTTCTTAATTCAAAGATCATTTTCACCGATCCATATCTTACAGGTGTTTTACGGACCATTAAACCTTGTAACTTGTACATTACTTCGTTGAATATAAAGATTACAGCACAACGGAGTCTAACCTATTCACAAAAAAGATGATCTATTCTATTCTTTGAACGAATTCCTAAGATAATGGGTGACAGAGAACCAGTTGTTATAGTTCCTACAGTCTCTCAGAAAGCTTTCACAATAAAGTGTTAAAGGACCTAGAAAGTCAGAAAGCGAGAGGCCTTACATTACCACAGTATCCAAAAGACCTGAAGCAAAGACAGCAACTTATGGAATGGACCCAACACTGATACCAAGGAAGGAAGTATTGAAGAAACCAGATCAAGACGGTTAGGCATTTCTCCATAGAAGTCTGAGAGTTCTTTTTCCTATTACCGGACATGGGATTTACTTCTGAGGGGAGAGAAACCATGCTTACATTTAACAAGCTAAATTTATATGATATGGTATAAACAGAAGAAACAACTTGGCAGGACTAGATTCAGTCTACTATTTTTATGTACATTCTCATGCTCTCTGAAAAAATTCCTCTAACCAATTGAATATGCTTGTTTCAGTACTGAATTTAAAAGAGACACTGTGAACAGGAATCACAGAGGACAGTCAAATCTAAGCACAACATACTGTTATTTATTTTGCTTACTGGGCCACTGAAGATTTATCTTACCTTCAGGTCACAAGCAGCTTGCCTGATTATGCAGTATACCCTTTGAAGTCTACTAACACGACTTTGATTGCTTTCATCCACAGCAGTGTTCACTGATGGGATACAACGTTATCATCACACTTATCTTAATGGAAATGACCATGCATCTGTGAAAGACAGCTGTCTAGACCCTCAGCTGATGAACTAGCACAGAATTGGGGAGAAAAGGCATGATGACTGCAGGCTTTCAGTTGCTGTAAATCAACATAGCTCTACGGGAGTCAGGGCAACTAAGTCCCTTTGCATCTGCTGAGTGCTGAACTCTTCTGCCCATGCCACATTGCCACAGCCTTGCACACAGCCAAAAGCAGAGGAGGACATCTGCCAACGAACTCAGTTTTGCACCACTTCTGACTGGTCACCAGGTAAACATCATGGGTGGCAGCGGCTTTCCAGGTAAGATTTGGGGTATGCAGAGAGAAAAAGTCTGAAAGACGTAGCAGATGAATGTAAACATGGAAAGAGTCAAAGAAAATAAAACATGGCAATACAGAAAGCAGACTGTAAAACTGAAGCAAAGCTTGTCTTCTTTCTATACCATAGCGAAAGCATGTCACAGTCTGAGCAGAAGTCCAGAACCTCTCTGTTGGACTCAAAAGACAAGAAAACTCAAACCTGAAGGTGAATCCAAAACTGCACTATATATTAAGTGGAAACTTGAAACAAAGAATAACAGACATGCAAACTTTGTAAGAAAGGTGGAGCTGAAGATCTACTGGCCTGATGAGCAGTGAGCTGTTCTTACTAGTGTCTGGTGGGGGCTAAATACTGGTGAAAACTGACTTACAAAGTTGAGGTGCCTTCATAGAAACTGATCTCTCTTGAAATATTTTCTGCAAGCTGGGAGTGATAAGAACCTTTCAAGACATTATGTGACATCCCAGGAACTCAAACTGGACTAGGAAGATGTAACTGCAAACTAACAGTTACTCTCACACATACAGCCCTCTTTAAGGGAACCAAAATATTCGTTATTATTAATAACATTTTAGTGCACAATTATTAAACTGTTGATTTTCATCAGAAATTTTCCATATACTTTAAAAGAGAGGAATTGCAGCCTGAGAAAATGAAGAAGGAAGCAACATCCAACATTGCTTAAATTGTATAAGGTCACCCTGAAAAGAAGCGTTATAACTGCAGTAGTAGAATCAGGGCTTGATGTCAGACCTTCAATCGATCCTTTAATTTGCATTAGTTGGTTGACACCAGCTGCTGCTACTCCTTACTAAGACATAAAATTAAACATGTCTTTTTCTTTCTTCTCTCCCACCCCAGATACTCTTGCTGTCTTGCAGTTTCACGCAGCTCTCAGGCCTCTGCTGGACTGTGAATGTAAAAGCTCTGAGTTTACAGCAGCTTTGTGTATTTTGACCTATTGACCTACTGAGATTTGCCACATATTTTTTCAGAAGTCTCTCAATAACACCCATTATTTCCCATTATTACTGCATGTTCAAAATCATTTTGCACTACCCAAAGCAAATTTGGGTAAAAAGCAAAATTTAATTGGCAAAAAGCCATAATTTAATCCAATTAACTATCTGTTGTATAACCAAGATATCAAAGATGCTGCATCCAGGTTGTACTTGAAGCAAAAACAAATTTATACTGTATGAGTCTTTAGCTGTCTACACATTTCTTAATCAAAAGGACTAGGTTTTCCCTATCTATCTGCTCTGTATCCACAAATCAAACAGATTTTCAGCAGATCTGAACTCCTGTCCTATCATTTCAATTAAGTGATTAGATGTTCAGAAGCTTTCCAGCTCCTCTCACAGAAGACTCAAAATCCAGGTTTGGATGTAAGTTCACAAACTGCAGTTAAAAGATGTTCAGCACATTTTGTAAAACGTGATCTTACGTTTCCGGTGCTATGGGTTCCAACTACATTGCATTTACATGGCTAAAGCTCAGTGCCTGTCAGGTAGGAGTATCCTTATGATCAGCTTAAGAGTTTTCCGGGATAGTAGTGTTATCTACAGGCTATGAGTTCATTTAATAGCGTTTTATTTACTTTCTTGCAGAGACAACAGACCCACTCCAATCTCATTAACACTACTGTAAATCAGGAACAACTCCAACAAATTTGTAAAGTTAACCTACTATGAAAAGAACTGAAAAAAAATTTCAGCAGAAATAAATCGTCATAATCCCACTGAAGACAGTAAAGCTAGACGCATTTACATTTGCAAAAGACTGCCAACTTACTCCCTGTAGAATTAAATCAAATCACATTCAATGTTTTCTTAAAAGCAATACATTGTATTAAAATCCACACTTTTATATTCATTAATAATTTGTGAGCCTGGGAAACTCATTCCTTTAAGGCTGTTCCCCCGTCCCCCTTTTAAAACCAGCTTCAGAAAAGATCTGTGTGTTCAGCTAAATTATTATGTCTAAGGGAGGACTTCAACCTGG